TTTACTAATTCTTTGTAGCAGGATTTTCAATTATCTCTTTCTAAAAGTGGCCTTTTTAGTTCCCATTTTCCTTAAAACTTCCTTATTGCTCACATGTTCAATCCATGGTAATCTCAGCAGCAGTGTAGAAGCGCATTTTTCCCTTCTCCTGTCTCCGGTTAATATATAGGAAGATGGATATGACATAACATTTCGGCGTTCTTATCTTTGTTTCTAATTAATTCTTTTTGTCTCTTTACTTAGCTTCTGAAAGACATCTTTCGCTATTTTGAATTCACCTTCAGATTTATTTGGCACATTTTCCGTCTTCGGCTACAAAACTACTCAGATTAAACGAGAAGATTGGGTTTGACATGCACCGTCTCCTATTAGTTATAATAAATAGATACAAACTTAACCTTGATATGTACCAATACTTAACATACAAGGTGTCCAAGAAAGACTGACATCATTTAAAATGTGAACGTCTTAGTAACTATGTGTACCAAGCAAACAAAATTAAATAGGCTTCATCAAAATTGGAACACGATATACAAAGTGATGTAGATTTTATAAACTTTTATAAAAGCTTCATAAATGTTCAATAAGCACACCACCTGTGGCACGACACACGTCAAGTCGGTCGTCCAGCTCCGGTCAAAGGCGTTGTAGCATGTCTCAGAATCTACCACAAAGATGGATCGGGCGTGCCTGTCGTGTTGTTGAAATGGGTACCACGTTCACCTGACTTGATACCTTGTGATCTTTTTCTATGGGGCTATACGAAAGGACAGATCTATATCCCACCTCTTCCTACAAGCCAAGAGGAACTTAAACGGAGAATCACTGAGGCTCTGCAGAAGGTTACGCAAGACATGCTTCAGCGTGCTTGACAGCAGCTGGACTTGGTAGTCCGTGTGTCGTGTCACAGGTGGTGCGCGTATTGACTATTTGTGAGACTTTATGAAATCAGTTATAACATCTACATCCCAATATCTTGTTACAATTTTGATAAATAAATCTTTTATTGTTCAACTTGAATCCTATTTAATTTCATTTGGTTGGTACATGTAGTTACTCAGATATCTTCATTTGAAATTATGTAAATTTTGGGGCTACATCCTGCACATCTTAATATCACAATGAGATGTTCCTGGAACAAACTAACATGTGTTTTGAAAGCCCTCCATGTTTTAAAAACTGCAACCACACTGAAGAAAACAAAGAAAAACAGAAATAATCTACTTTATAATAATAATAACTTGCATCGTAATTGCCTAGATTCTTATGATCAAAGAAACTCAAAATCAATGGAAGTCATAAAAAGGTGTGAATTCTGTGGCGCATGCGCATGTGCAGCTTTTGTGAGACAAATGGCGTGTTTGTTGATCGGCGGCCATTACTTAAGCCATTTCGGTCGAGGCTAGGTCAACCCCTGCTGTTGGTTTCGTTCAGACATAGGCGCATATAAAAACACATATTAATGGTTATAAAACCAAGTCACTTGACAAAGCAGGGAAAATGGTCGATGCAATAAAGTCTGGCTATTATTATTAACAGAGTTCTAAATGAGAAAATGACTAAACCCGTTTGTATGGCTTTCTGGATATTTTCTCTCCAAAATCATTACATAGGATATAAAACAATATTCATATAGAAAAGAGACAGAATACATAAACACAGACTTACTCATACATTAAACATATACACATTCATATAGAATGCATACACACATAGAGGCTCACTTTCTGTTATTAACGAAGATAGCATGACGTATAATTATTCTTATTGGGATTAGAGTGTATTTAAGTTATAATAATGCGTAGTTCCCTATACCAGAACAACAGTTGCTATGTGACGGGACAAGCAATCTACAAAGTGATGAATTATTTACATCGATATATCTATGCAAATTCCAGAGTCAAATCTGTGGGTCAGGGGTGCAGAAAATCTAATAAATTCTTCAAGTATTTATATTATTTACATGGTTTGGACTCTTGTCTTCATCGTCGTTATTGTCATATTCACGACGTTTCGGCTGTTGTACGGTCTGGCCTTCTTCAGGAATTTTGACCCTTTATTTCTTCCACTGGTGTAGATTGTTCTAGTTCCGCATGCCATGCCTTCTCTGGACATCTCAGTTTCAGTTATTTCCCTCTAGTAACTCAATACTCCTAGCTTTTGTTCACCTCTGCTATAGCCAGGTATTGAACTCGCAACTTCTTTGTCAAGTCACTGGATTACTTCAACCAACGCTTTTATTCACTTGTGTTCTTGGGAGCAATGGTATCCCAGTGGACGGAATAAAGGGTTCGGTTCAAAATTCCATCGTATATCACCTGAAGAAGGCCGATAGGTACAACAGCCGAAATATCGTGAATATGACAATAAAAATGAAGACAACAGTCAAAACAATGTAAATAATGTAAATAGCTACAATACCTCATCTCAGAACTATAGACAAATTCTTCAAGATAGTTTTGCTGAAAGGGGTTTTATTCAAGATATATTTGTTCAAGTGGTTTAAATGTGGACATTAGCGGGGTGGGGTGCTTAGAGGAGTTGGACGTCACTTGATTGTTCCTGGTTGGTTTCGTGTCACTGCTACACGAGTTGGGTACGTTATCTTGCTGGATCAAACGAGAAACTGAGCGAGCATAAATGGATGCAAATGGTCTACAAGATTTATGTGTGTCACACCTGTCAATTTAGACTCCTGTTTCTCTAGTGGTTCTTTCGAACTTTACCAGAACACGTTCCATACCATTACAGAGACACAACCTGCTTACACAACAACTTTGATATATAGCCTTCTGCGGTTTTTACCACACATGAACTTGAAAGTCCAACAAAACTAGAAGCATGATTCTTCCGACGAGGCGACATGATGCCAATTTTCTACGGTCCAATAACGGTCTTCTTTGGGCCGAGGTAAAGTGCAGTAACCGATGCCATGGTGTTAATGATCGTACCCTTGTGTTAATCATTTCTTTCTCTTTATTTCACTCTTTCCCTCTTTCTCTCTTTCTATCTGTTTATCGATTTTTTTTTCTTTCTTTCTGATTTCCTTTCGTTTCTCTTTTCCCTCTCGTACTTACAGTTTTTCACTTGCTTTTTCGTTTTTATATCCTTTACTTTTCCTTTCTCTCCATCTTTCTTTGTATGATCTTTTTTATCATCTTCACCGCTAATTTACCTAATCTACTACAGTAGCGTAATGGATTGCTGCACGGATTAAGGAATTGGAGAGCCGAGTTCGAATTCCAGTCGAGTCTATTACATTCACATACGTGCTAATATCCTGAGGAAAGATATGAATCTAAATCTTCTCCTCCCCCAACCAAAGAATCTATGAGTAAATAGTAGGTCTGACTGTGTTCTATACGCTTGGGGAAAAACGTTGAATTCACAATTGTATGTAGCTCTGGCGAAGTACATATTATACAGATTGACTCGATAATTACGGGCGATTCCTTTTTTTTATTGTGAGTAAAATGGTACCAGTTTACCACGGTCCAATAGCAATGCTTTCTGGCTCACTTAATCAATATCGTACTATCAATAATGGTATCCTTTTTAGACGACCACCACGAAAGAATTGGAATTCAGTATACACTGAACATTAATTGATATTTGGAGCAGAACCAAATTCGACATTTGTGTTGTGTGATTACAATCGTTATCAGTCGTCGGCGATCCCGTTCTTGCATCACCTGTGGGCGGCCGCTCTTTTCACGTGTCACTGATGTCTATTTGGAATTAATATCATTTTATATAGACTCTTCCAACTGCGACTACTAAGTTTAGCTTAATTTAGTACAATATGATTAGTACGGTTCGAACAGTAGTAATGACCAACCACTAACCAGGAAAGCTCACTGGTAATTACCCTATCCCAGGGCTTCCTATGTCTTTTTTCTCTGTGTAAGATTATTCAGAATTAAAATTTGCTCGCGCCTCGTCAAATTTCATGTGATAAAACGTATATTTAAAAATGAAAAAACATTGAGAGAGTTAAAGGGAGATAACCTCGGATTCGAAGTCAGAACATTATTATTGATAACTCTCACCTACAATTTGCGGACCTTAGTTACTATATTCTTAATACTTGATATTATGTAAACATATCACAATGATAAAATCGGTCAATAATTATTTATAACTATCTATACTGCGACTCATACATGCAATTACAACTAATCCATAATAATATTTTAAATTTTGAAGTCATATTCATTTTTGGCATATGAATGATTTTTTTAAAACTGTTTCTAAATCTTTCATTATCTTTCAATCATCCCGCCTCACCTACTACCCTCTTTCGCTACACCTTTGAGGCGTACCGTACCATTTGGGAACCACTGCTCTATTCTGAGACATCCTACTCTTGCTACTACTTCCTGAGTAAAACTTTGCAGATAAAGCGCCCGAACATTCTATCTCCAATAATTATTGCGCTCTCAAACTTTTACAACCTGCTGGAATTTCATGGCTGTCAAATTTACACAGATGCAACTGCACTACCTCTTAACTATTACGTCATATAGACGTCTGTGTCCATTTTTACATGGCTATAGATTCGGAAACCACCCAGGGTACTGAAATTTTGTCAATCCAGCTAATGTTTGCAATTGAAATTAGTGCCTGTGTGTGGGAATCATTTTCTGACGTTCACGTCATGTCACGAGTCACGTAACCCGTTAGGGTCATTGGGCTACCATATATTCTGCAGTTGTAGCAGCAGTCGTGTAGGGTAAGATAGCTTGACACAGCTCATCTCTGTTCAGACTGCTTTTGAATTCACCGTTGTCCTTTTCTTAGATTGGTAGCCACACAAGGCTAGAGACCCCAGTCTACGTTGCTATTTAACACATGGCTGGAAAGGAGAAGAGACAGATTCTTGTTTTTCGCAAGAGCAATTGTGCGAAAGTAAATGCAACCGACTAGAGCGGAATTTGAACTCTGCTCTCCGATTCCACATTCCGCTACCCACACATCTCTATGGCCCCTTGGATAAAAACAGAAAATCAGCAGATAGATAGATAGATAGATAGATAGATAGATAGATAGATAGATAGATAGATAGATAGATAGATAGATGTTTGAGATAGACGATGAAATTATAGATATAAACAATAACTTTGGTAAACATAAATAAACAGAAGAGAGCATGAAAAAGATCAATATGGAAAAAATGTGATATAAACAGAATGAAAGACATCGATTGAAATAGATAGATAATGAACTAGGATAGATAGATAGATAGATAGATAGATAGATAGATAGATAGATAATGAACTAGGATAGATGGATATATAATGAACTAGTATAGATAGATAGATAGATAGATAGATAGATAGATAGATTAATGAACTGCAATAGAAAGATACATGTCTGCCAACACGAACCAAGATTCGCTCATACGCGAACCCATATCCTCAGTGAAACCAGCTTCTACAATACAAGTGTACATCGCCTTTCCAATGAGTTATCATTATCATCACTTCCTGCCATGATCACGTGAACTCAACACATAGACACCAACGCACACGCATTTACCCCGCCCATCGCAAAAAGAACACAACCCGATACCAACAACAAACAAACCATACCTAAATGAAAAACAAAACCCACACACGCGCACACATGTGGCCCCGGGACATCACTTACCCCTCTACCACCACCACCACCACCATACACATACTTTGTTGTGTTTTTTTTTTGTTTGTTTTTGTTTTGTTTTGTTCTAATTTTTGTTCTTTTTACCGCTTATTGTTTTTATTGTCTCATACGCTAACTCTCCGCCCTTTCGCGCCTCCTCTGTGTCTCGCTGTAATCTCTTTGTGCAGCGAGATTTTGAAATTACCGTTGCGAGAACAAACGGAGGTGGGCCGGTGGGGGTAGGGAAAACAAACCAAAATCAAACAAAACACCACCAACAATAAACAAAAAGAAAGAGTTGAAGACAACAATAACGAATTGCGCGACCGAGACAAGTCACCGCCGCCATTTTAAAATGTCGTTTTTCTTCTGATTTGCCCGACGTCATCATTGTTGCAAGAGATGAACGTTAAGAAAAAGTGTCAATTCTTGAAAATAATAATAATAATAATAATAATAATAATATTATCTACATCCGAATGATTCTAGTGACTTCCCCTTATTTGCGATCCATGACTTTCAGTTATCCACGTTCAACCTCAGATATAAACAACTGATAAGTTTTAGTTAACAACTGTCCCAATGCGCTAGAATTAGAATATTGGCAATTTGAATATGGCATACAAAACTCTAAAATGGCTTCCTTGAAACTAAATCGTGAGTGTTAATGACTTAATAAAGAAACATTGTATGCTAAAATTGAACAGATCTATGGTAAGAACAAATCATCCCTCCGTCACATTTATTACAATCTGTGTATATAATAATGATTAGATTTAGGCTTGTGCGTTTCTTATCACTATACACTAAAAGCGTAATTTTTGATAGCATAATACCTTGAGAATATTCTAAATTGAAGAATACAGCTATCCCCGCTCCAATTGGGACTCCAGTTTCAAATTAATTCTTAATTAAGTACAAATTGTCAAAAAGAAAAAAAAATTAGCAAGGGAGATAACTCCAGATTTATTAACTGTTATTTACACAGTTTTTTCCCTTGTTCTTAAGAAAGCAACGTTGATAATAATAATAATAATAATAATAATAATAATAATAAAGCTTATTGATAATTCGAATCTTTAAATATTTATAATTTAAATACTCTCAGTCAGAAGTTACTTGACATTGACACGAAGTAGCTGCAGGTAGAATTTAAGTGAATATTTATAGTTGTTCCACTGAACGTTGTTAATTTTTGTTCCAGTGATTGTTGTTAATCTGTGCCTTATTTATTAACTTTATCATAGGGATGTTTGTATATATATATGTGTATGAAATAAAGAGAAAAGGAAAATTATTAGCCGACGCTTTTCGCCCTCTGATGAACTTTAGCAGTGTAAATGATAACTGACATTTGCCTTGATTAAAGTCCATCAGAGGACGCAACGCATTGGCTAAGCAAAGTTTTCCTTTTCTCTTGATGTCATATTATTTTTTTAACAGATATATCCTTAGTTATATCTGAATTATTACTCCAAACATTATTTTTAGTGAATATCTTTGTGTAGAAGTACGCCTGACTAGACTGAGGATGACATGGGTTCGAACCCCACCAGGGATCAAATTTCCTTTATTAAGTTTACTACCAAAAATAAATAAATAAAAAGTAAGGCGTCGACTCTAAAAAAACGTTTGGAGTGATAAGAAATAATGCCGTATAAAATAAAAAATCCATTAATTTCTATATATATCAAACAAATATGGAAAGGTTACCCGATGCAGTACAGTGGTCGATGAACAAGGAAAACGAGGAACATCAATATATTGAAATTAAAGTTACGTATCTACCACCTCCACGTGAGCAAATGTTTTATAAGCGCTAATACCGGATATGACAGCGCACTCAGATATATAGATATTTACTGTCCACATTATCAGCTATTCAATGGTGAGAGAAGGTTTTGGATTCTCTTCCTCGCGAATAAAGTAAAGGAGGTACTGTCTAATAAAAGAAAAAAAATACTGGGGGAAAAGGTTTTTAATAATGTACACCACTGGAAAAAAATCTGCTTGTAATAACAGTTCAAAAATCGGGACAAAAAATAAAAATGCATATATGACAGATTAGGAACGGGAATAATTTGAAACTGTGTAAATGAACTGGTTTTGATCATCGCAACTTAAATCAGAGACTGTAGAAGAAACTAACTTTGAAATTTAGATCGATCAGCCTATCCTACCAAGAAGATCGATGAGGCTGTTTCGGTTCATAGAATTTCTTGGATGATGGTTCTACGGAATTCTTTCTGTCATCCACTCTCCGTAGATAACCCTTACAAATACAGTTAATAATGATGTTAAAATTTCTTCATGTGACATCAGGTATGGCTTGTGATCTTAATTTATTGATATCAATATGTACAGATTTTCTTTCTTGATAAATTAGGATGAGTAAGAGTAGATTTCCCAATCAGAATTGCATTCAGTTACCTGACCTTAACAACTAGTTGACAATGTCTTCTAGACGCTGACAAACTATGCATCTTTGTTCATCAGCGGAAGTAGTTTTGGAACATCATAGCCGGGGGTCGACAATATGTTTTTTTTTAAGTTTGAAGGAAGAGACAGCAAGAACTATTTGGGATTCACATCTAGATAGTTGGTGATAACTTCAATCGAAGACCTTCTAAGTGAACTGGGTTACCCGACTTGCAGGTATTTCTAAGTGGGTCTGATCGGAAAGATTGTGCTGTATTTATCAACATTTTTCGCCACATCGCGCATATTTTGGCTGTTACTTGTATATTCCTGGTATATCAGACAGCATGTCATTATGGCTGTAATGAGCTTTATGTATTATAGCACAGCGTTACTTTGCTGCTTTACTAATCGATAATAATAATAATAATAATAATCAAGACGAAGAAACTAAACTGCTATTAATGGAGGCCAAGATCAACACCCTAAAAGCCACTGAAATAAATCGCCAATATAGATAAGATACTGAAATGCAGATAACGAAGATGTTAGAGATGGAACAACCTATCATATAATCAAAAGCAGCAAGTTATGTCGGAAAGTTTACATGAAAAGTGGCATGAATGGGTGGGAATGGTGAGCTGAAAGAAGTGCTCAAAGGACTGGGATTTGACCATTTATTCCGAAGATAAATAGTTACAAGCCAGAATCTATTTTATAGAATTAAAAATAGAAAGTCCTATAGAGCGTTCAAATTCAAATAGATCCTCCAATCCAGGCAGGAAACCAGAACGAATTATCGCGAATAAGGAAAAACAAATCATGGATTGAATTACTCCAAGGGACCACAGAGCAAAATTAAATTAGCCAGAGAATAGAACAAATTACATAACAGTCATGCCTATCGTTGCTGGAGTACTTACAACGATTGCGAAAGACTGGAGAACACGTTGAAGCAACTGGATAAGTTGAAAAATCAAACAAAACCATCCAAACGGGTGAAAACAGCGAGAATGCTGAGGAGGAGGCTGCATTTGATTTGATTTGTTTGCTTAAAGGCATATCAACTATGGATCATTTAATGCCTAAATTTAACTTTCGTGGGGTGGGACCTTTGAAGTAATAAACATATGATATATCTTATTCTACTTTCATAATTGAATACATGGTAGATAAAACAAAGCTTTTGTGCGTATACATGTTTGATATGATATGTGTGTTTTATGCTGCAGTTTTATTGAAATTATATTTTGGAATGCAGTTTGATTTATTTAAGAAATTGTGGGACATTATATGAATTAATGTAATGAAAGAGTTCTTTAATTTTGATTGTTTGGTTGGTTGATTTTGATTAGCGGTATACCAAGTTCTATGGGTTATTTAATACCGAAATCTACATAATTTGAACACAATTTTATGGTTTCAACTAAATCATACTTATTATACAACCCAGGTTGTGTGTGTGTGTGTCTGTACGTTTATATATTGGATCGGATTTCCTACATTTTTCAACTGATTTCAACAAAACTTCACAGGACTACGTAAAATTACCTTGCGGTGGTTCTGATAGCGCAAAAAATTGAAAAACACAATTGTTTTTGCACGAAATCAATTTGAAAAACACGATTAAGAGGCATCTTGAGAATGAAAGGGGGCAACTCATATCGAGTTATACTTATAAAACCCAGGTTTTTTTTTTTGTGTGTGTGTGTGTGTGTGTGTGTGTGTGTGTGTGTGTGTGTGTGTGTTCGTTTATATATGGGATCGGATTTCCTACATTTTTCAAACTGATTTCAACAAAACATTACTTTCTTTTTGGCAGGTAGTGTTTCTTATTGTCTTGCACACTTTTTTTTTTTTATTTTTACATTCAGAATGCGTTAAAAATTCCATTTACAAGACAATTGTTTATAATAAAATCTATTCAATCGGTAGACTCATAACGATTGAAAACAATGTTTTTTGTTTGAGTTTGGGTTTGACCAATTCGTAAAAAAAAAAAAAAAAAAAGGAACTAATTAAGACATGCGTGTCCGTCAACCTTAAACAATAATCTTTGTCAATTTCATTTTTTCAGTCTTTATGATGGTCGATACTTGATCTATCTCTTACTGTTACATCCCCGGACAACGCCGGGCTCTACTGCTAGTATATAATATAAATTCGTATTTTCGTTATTTTTTTATCAAAAATGTATTTTTGTTCTTTTATAAATTTTTTTTATTGTTGTTTTTGTTTAAGGGTTCGCTATTTGCCCATAAGTGGGACCTTAACAGGTACTACCACTCCGGTTCAGGCTGACATAGGAACAACAGCAATTATGAGGTGGTACCACACTCCTCAAAATCTCCAGTATCCCGAACAGAGGCCTTGCTGCTGGATGTAGTTGATCGTCATATCCAGATCAAGAGGATGCTGGATACTCCAGTTAATGCTAGAGTGCAAACTCAGTTATTGGAGAATAATGCAATTGATATATACAATATACAAAAGTTTATCGTATAAAAAAAATATTAAAATTAAAAAAGATAAAATATACTTGAGGAAACTAGTATGAAATTCAGACAAGTACAACTACTAATATATATATATATATATATATATATATATATATATATATATATATATATATATATATATAGAAAATTTTGATTCCGCTACCTTGGTTTCAAAACCGATTTCGGTCTATTGATTTAAATATTTTTTTTTTTATTTTTAAAAAATAAAGCATTAGGATATCAATTGACCGAAATTTCCCTGAATATAGTGAAAGGTTGAAAGCAAGGTAGCGGAATCGGCTGATTTCTTAATTTTCTATACTTAAAAATCTCTACATGTTAAAATTTTATCTTTTTATATGTGTATTGAGCACTTTTTTAATACTACTGTTTCCTGGTCTAATTCAACTATGACCGTCATCTTCTTTATATATATATATATATATATATATATATATATATATAATTTAGGCAGCAATCCCTCTTTTATACAGTTTTCGTTAAAGAAGATTGACAAAGTACTATGATTAAGCTTTTTATTTAATTTTCTTGTCTCCGTACAAGTGATTTCTTTTCTGGACACAAAGTGCGTAATCATTGTCCAAAATTTCTGCATATGCAAACGCTTTTGGCTATTTAGTCATTATCAAGGTTATTATTTTTTAACTAAATATGTGGGTTTTTATGTATGTGTCTAAAGTTACAGAAGGGTTTTATTTCTGAACACGGTCAGCACATCGTGGTCGTGTTCATAATTAATTTTATTGAGTGTTGGCTTTTTCTTTTTTATCATTCGGGATTTTTTTTATCTTTTTTACATTTGGACGAGGCTATTATACTTGTATTTTTTACTTGTATGTTTCGGATGGAGTCTGGTAGGTTTTTGTTTAAATGAGTCCTAATGAAACTATGGTTGTGTAGGTTTAACGTAAGTCGTCTAGATAGGCATATAGTAGTGTGATCAATGTAATTATTTATGAGTTTGTTTTGATCACTAACAGTTCCTTCAAGGCCATTTAAACTCGTAAATAATGATCGTTCTTTGAAATTTTGGTTTTGTTTGCTTTTCATTGGTTAAGTAGACCTCACGTGTATTTGTTTTGTCAGGTAGCGTTCGTGATAAATATTTGTTTTTATTTTTGTGTTTTTCATTCTACTTAAGCAATGAAAAACAAACAGCACAAAAAATAAGGTCAAATTTCACGTACTAATTTATGGTCTCCCGTTGACGTCAGGGAAACAAGGTTTTTTACCAAAATTTCAAAGGTTATAAAAAGGATCATAAAATATAATTTTCCCATCAAAAAATCCTTTGCCCTTTCCTCTTAATAATAACACAGATTTTGACGATAAAAGTTTGTTTTTATTAAGTTCTGAGCGTTTATTCATTATGTATGCTCATTTTTAACGAATTTTTAGTGGTATCTATCTCTCTGTCTATATATATATATATATATATATATATATATATATATATGACAGCTGTCGATGTCTCGTAAAAAGCGAATGGATGCTTCGACTCATAATCCAATCAACTATAATTATTCCCTCCGGCAATAGTAATCATTTAGCCAAAAATCATGTTTCGAATGCTTGTCAGCAAACCAAATGTCGCGAAGATAGCTACATAATCTTCTAATACCAGAGGCAATTAGTGTCTACTTTTAGACGTTAAATTTGATCCACACCGACGCTAAAACTATCCACTGTCCACTGAATATTACTGACCAGTGCTTCTCGACTATTTTCGCCCTGAATTTTTCTTCCACGTTTTCGTTATGGTTTATGCTGTCATCCATATAATATTATTATTTGTTCGTTAGATGATCGTCCATCAGTGATTGTCTCCTTAAACAAACGAAGGGAAAAAGAAAGCATAATTGAGTCTGTTGTTCTGTCCTTAGGCGTGATGGGAAAGATGAATGATTGGGGGCCACAAAAGCCATTCCTTATTTTCTCAACACTCATCTGAGAATTAATTTTTTGCTCATTGAGTCGAAAGAATTTTTCAACTTTCTTCTTCTTTTTCTTCTTCTTCGTCGTCGTCGTCTTCGTCGTCGTCTTCTACATTTTTTTTTTTTCCTGCTATCTTTCATACCTTACACACTCCTTTTTATTCCTTCTTTTCTTCGTTTTCTTCAGCGTCATTCTTCTTCCTGTTATTATATTTTGTCCATTCCCCTTTTTTCATCTACCTCTTCTTTTACTTCTTTATTATTATTATTATTATTATTATTATTATTATTATTTGCGTATGTTATGTTTCCTGCTTTGTATTCTGTAGAGCCGGGTTCAAACTATTTTCCTATAGGAGAATTTTCATTTAATTGATAGCACCTTTCTTAGTATATGGGATGTTCGTAGTAAGGCGATCTTCTGGGCAAGCTGTATGTTGATGTTACCGGGGACACTGTTAGTAAAATTGTTCATTCCTTTTCTCACCAGACCCAGTGCTCCGATTACTATTGGTACAATCTCAGTCTTGATTTCCCACATCTTGTTAATCTCGATCTCCAGGTCCTTGTATTTGGACAATTTATGCACACGCCCTTCGTCATTTCGTTCTCTTTTTCTTCCTATTATACATTATAAATTCATTTTTCTCTTCTCGTTTTTTCTTTTTTTTTTTTTTTTTGCACTTCTCGTTATTACTATTAATATTATTATTAGTAGTAGTAGTATACAAATATCCTTTTTTCTTCTTTTTTTATTGTTCGAATATTACACACATTCTTTCTTCTTGTTATTTTTCTTCTTTCTTGATATTTTCTTTCCCCTGCCATTTTCAACAATTTTTCTTCAGTTTTTTTTATTTCTTACCAAATTTCATCCATATTCTTTTATCGTCTATCTTTCCTTTTTGGTATTTCTTCCTTGTTTTTTAGTCGTGCCTCGTCGTTTTCTAAATTTTGTTTTCCTATTGATTATTACTTTCCGCCATTTTCTTAAGATGTTTTTTTTTCTTCCTTCTTCGTCCTTCGTTCTTTCATATATCTCGAAGTCTACCATTCTTCTTATTAATTATTATTCTTATTCTCTTCTACCACTACCAGCTTCTTTTTTTTTCTTCATTATCAGTTCTTTTTTATCTTCCTTTTGTATTCTGGTTCAGCCATTTTTCACGTTTCTTTTTCCCCTTTTTTTCCTTCTCATCCTTTACAAATTTATTTAACGCTGTGAATGAAATACGCCTTGAAAACTGACCAATTATCGGTAATAAAAATGACATTGAAACTCTTGTCTTTCTTCGAATCCTGCATTTGCTTTTAGCCTTTGGCAAATTGCAGACGGGCGTGTGGCTGCTTTATCAATCGAACAAAGGCCACAAAAGGTCAACTGTTTTACCCAAAGCCGCATACATACAAACAAACTATTGTTGTCCGTATAAGAATCCCTAAATCACTGACTTGGGCACAAACCGTTAACATCACATGAGTAAATTTCAGGTCTGGCCTTTTCTGGTTGCAAAATGCAACTTTTCAACGATTCAGGCTTTCACGCTTTTCTCATTTACTATTTTTCCCCCCAAGAATTTAAAATGTTAAACTTAACTGAATATCTTTTATCATCTCTCCGCATGGTTGATTTCTACTAAGTTCAGTCCTGATCTTGTAAATTTGTTCTCAACGAAGATTTATTTTTATTATACACTGATTTATTCAGAATAGTGTCCTCTTGATTGATAGAGTCACAAAGTTTAGACCAGTGTTTCCCAAACTTTTTTCAACCAGCGCCCCCTTTTGGCACAACCTTTTTTGCTAAGCCCCCCCCCCACCTATCATCAAATTTAATTTCTAATATTATACTGAATTCATCGTTCATGGTAAGATAATATTTAGATATTAGCACAAAAATAATTTTAATTTCTATTATAAATGCCAATAAAAAAAAAAACTTTTATTTGATAGTTTATCTCAATGTTTTCAAAAGCAATGGTTGACTTTGGTGCGTACTGGCTATGGCTCTTACTCTAGGTTCATTTGATAGATTATTTCAATGTTTTCAAAAGCAATGGTTGACTTTGGTGCGTACTGGCTATGGCTCTTACTCTAGGTTCATTTCATAGCTTATCTCAATGTTTTCAATGCAATGGTTGACTTTGGTGCTTACTGGCTAAGGCTCTTACTCTAGGTTCATTTCATAGCTTATTTCAATGTCTTCAATGCAATGGTTGACTTTGGTGCTTACTGGCTAAGGCTCTTACTCTAGGTTCATTTCATAGCTTATTTCAATGTCTTCAATGCAATGGTTGACTTTGGTGCTTACTGGCTAAGGCCCTACTCTAGGTTCATTTGATAGTTTATCTCAATGTTTTCAATGCAATGGTTGACTTTGGTGCTCACTGGCTAAGGCTCTTACTCTAGGTTCCACTGTGCTTAGAAGTAATCATAGATCTCCTCATTTTTTTAATTTAGATGTAGTTCTTTTGTTTAGTAATAAGTTGTGTAAGTGTGTTGAAAACACATTCAGCCAAATAGGAAGTTGGAAAAACAATGAAGAAAAGTTCGATAGCTTCCCACAGCTTTAGAAACCTTTCAGAAATTTCCTTTTGGAGCCTATATTGAATAATTTTTGAAAATTTGAAAAAAAAATGTTAAATGCCCACCGCCCCGCCAAATGAAATAAAAACTCCCAATGCCCACTTTCAACATGACAGAGGCCACAAGAGGGCGCTTGCGCTCACTTTAGGAAACACTGGTTTAGATCATGGTACTCTCCTGTCTTCTACGGGTGGTTGTTCATGAATTTCGAATCTTTTATAAAATCTACTGGCGTAGAGGGTTCTCATTCCTTAGTGCGGCTTAAGGTTGCATCACATTGAAACACTGTTTCCAGTACAATCACCGAAGTTAAGCAATGTCGAACCTGGTCAGTACCTAGATGGTTGATCGCTTGGGAATACCAGGTGTTGTAAGCTTGGATGTGCGGGTGGTGTGCTGGATAATGGCTTGGAATTGTTAACCGGAGAGCCGAGTTTCGATTCCTGATGTGTTTGTTATAATTAATTACGCGCAAATACGCCTCTTCTCCCTCTAGCTATGGGTTAATTAGTAAGACTTGTATCACTAAAACCATTATTATCTCCCCCGCCACACCCAAAAAATTGCGTACAAAATATTTAGATTTTGGCATTAAATAACCCATAGAGGTTGATGTGCCGCTAAACAAAATCAACCAACCAACCATTCCTCTATGTTAGCGGATATTTCGTATGTTTTAATTCTTTCTAGTTCATTTACCCTTGTGATGTTTTTCTGCTTCTTCCACTGAACCAAAATATGTTATTTTTAAACGACTTATGGTATCATGACAGCCAGAGACCACAGTCCGGTTGGCTCTAGTTAATCAAAATATAATGATCAGGGCCGGATCAAGGTACTGGCAACTCGGGCAGTCGCCCGGGGCGCCGTCAAAGCCGAGGGCGCCATCATGCCGCCATGGCATGTGTTTGGGATATTCCAAGCAAAAAGGGGGAAAAAATTATAAATAAGATGAAATAAAAAAAAAATAAAAATGGAGTTATTAATTCTTTATCAGAGAGATTTGAACAGTTACATGGTATTTTTAAATAATCTAACAGATCTGCCAGATGAAAATAAATTCAAAGTCGCATGCCAAGGGTTGGAGGATACCAAGAAAATAGTGATATTCATATATGCGATCTCTTGACTGATTTGAATTTTACAAAAGAATTATTTTCTGAAAATGTAAGGCTTCCAATAGAAGTTGTTAATAAGTTACAGAATGTCTTGCCTAATCTGTCGGTTGCAGTGAGAATAATATATACTATATCCATTAGTGTAGTCACCGGAGAGAGAAGACTTAATAAATTCAAACTTATAAAAACATAATTGTGGTCATCCATGACTCAAGACATATTAAATTTTTTTTGGCTATTTTATCAACAGAAAATGATGTTGTAAAGAAGATCAGCGTAGAAAATGTCATAAAAAGCTTTTCAGATCTAAAGGCTAGAAAAAAGTTTTAAGTAGGATAACAAATGTTTTCTTTAGTTTGTATTAAGTTGTATATTGTAATAAATGCGTTGTTCTATATTTTCAGTTTTTCTCCTTGTGAAAATTTTAAAAAATTATAATTGTAAGGGCGACAAAGTTCAGCCTGCACGGGATGCCAGCAACCGTAGGCTGATAATCATATTTGAATTCTGTTTGTACCTCTTCTAGTTAGTAAGTTATCACGTGCGTTACGCCCTAACTCAGAAAAATATTCATAGATGAGATCTTTTGACTGATCTGAATTTTGCAAAAGAATTATTTCCTGACGATATAAGGCTTCCAATAGAAGTCTTTAAGTAATAAGTTACAGAATGCCATGCCAATTCTGTGGGTTGCAGTGAGAATGTCTACTATATCCATTAGTGTAGCCATCGAAGAGAGAAGACTTAGTAAATTAAAACTTATAAAGATATAATTGTGGTCGTCCACGACTCAAGAAAGATTAAATTCTTTGGTTATTTTGGCAATAGAAAATGATGTTGTAAAGAAAATGTTTTAAGTAGGATAACGAATGTTTTCTTTAGTTTGTATTAAGTTGTATATTGTAATAAACGCGTTATTCTGCATTTTCAGTTTTTCTCCTTGTGAAAATTTTTAAAAATTATAATTGTAAGGGCGACAAAGTTCAGCCAGCACGGGGTGCAAGCAACCGTATGCTGATAATCATATTTGAATTCTGTTTGTTCCTCTTCTAGTTAGTAAGTTAACAAGTTAGCACGTATATCAAATAAATCAATCAAGAAAGAAAGAAGGCAAGGAAAGGAAATCAGTCAGGTTATCTGACATTAAAATTTGCTTCAGTGAAATGAAAAATCTTGCCTATTTTAAATCTTTCCATTTATACCTTTCTTATTTCTTTAAATAACGAACTGCATTCTTATAACATTTTATAACTGCATTCTTATAACATTTTATATATTGAGCGGTACATTAGATGTCCACTGCTATTTTATAGTCATGGAAACCGCAGGTAGCGTTTTTTTTTCTTTTTTTACTAATGATCACCGAATACAAAGCCAAAAATCCTCTAGAGGGAGAACATTACTGTGTAGACTTATATTAGCGTAGGAAAGGACAGACGATAGGAGTATAGAATTGAAGTAGACTTTAGAAGGAACTGAAGGCCCAATCCTAAACAGGAAACAAGAGATAAACCTCTACTCCTGTTCAAAAGACTGCGGAGGAGTGTAAACGGGTGACAGGCCGACCTATCTACACCTATTGCTTATTCAATAATTAACATAAGAATTATTTATCGAAAAATTAAAATCGGAAAACTGTAAAATTTTCACGAGTACTGCTAACAATTATAATTCCTCATTTCAAATATTCAGAGAAACTGCATTTAAAGATGTTTTACATTTAGTGAAAAACACACAGTTCATTGCTGATCTTTCAAGGCATTGCTAGCAAATTAAGCTTTTCAAGAGTTCTCATCTCTTTACGATAAGGATATCTGTTTTGAAAGCTAATCTAGCAAACCATTGCAAATATATTGTTTGATTCACAGGAACACTTTGCGGAGATGGCCTCTAGTCAAGATAAGACGTTAGCATTTTATTTGAATTTCTGAAACGCGGAGTTGTATTCATTGGTTCATTCGAATTAGCATCCCCATTTTTGTTGCTTTTATCGGGGCACTGAAAAGTTTTTGGTTCGATCCACTTCTCAAAAATATGACCAAATATCAAATATAATTTGCTTGAGAAGATCCTTTATCAGGCCAAGAGATTATATATAGAGCACGCCTACACAATCGCATTAACCACAAAGTCAGGAAATACACGCGTGTAAACATTAATCTACACAAATAAAATACAAGACAGACTTGCCGAAATCTACACCAAGCTCGGATGAGCTCTTGTTTTATTCCCCTCTCCCGACAGACAATAAATTGTACATATGGGAACTAGTGAGGAATTTCATAGAGACATGGTGGTATTAAGGTGAATGCTGCAAGAAAGGTAAGTAAGAATGCGTTATTTTGATGTTAGAAATATAGTGGTATGTTTGGGTCAGTGATTGTGGCTAGCTAAGATTAAAATTAAGACAGAAGAAAGCAGTCCTTTGCCTACCTTATAGGATTTAAATCACTCATTATCGGACTCTCTTAAAAAAAAGATTCTTCATAAATCTTCTTTATTGACAGAAAAACAAATCTAGACATAGTCAAGATATGCACATACATGCATATGAATCTACACGAAAATAAGACACACGCACCTGCATTCTCATGCATCTATACAAAGAAAAGTCAATATATACGCACAAAAACGACTATCTATAAGTCTACTATTCGTCTATGTTTAGAATATTGCTGTCACACATGGTCCAGTGCCCTTGCTATTTACCTTGAGCTCCTTGATAAGATCCAAAGAAGAATCAGTAATATTATTGGTCCTGATCTGGCGGCTCGGCTTCAGTTACTTTCCAACACTGTATGGTTGCCTCTCTGTGTCTTTTCTATAAATACTTTCATGTTAATTGTTAGGATGATCCCTTGATGTTTAATTTAAGGTTGATTTTGTTTCTTTAGTTTCTTCCTTCCAGTTGTCTTAGCTAGAGGATATATGCCCCTTTTATTTTTGTCCCCAGTTTTTCTTTGGTTTAATTCCCTAATCCCCCCTCCTCGTTAAATGGTCAGTGATGTCAGTTCTCTGGTGGATGCGGGGCGCCTTTCGTTTCGGGTGTGTTTTTCGTATTTGTTGTTGTGTCTGAATGAGTGCATGTCTGTGTGAGTGCTTTGGATAAATGAATGTTTTATATAGTCCCGCATTCGTTTTGTCCAGTTAACTAATGTTTCTGCCACATTTTAGGATTGTAGGGGGGGTATTACTAATAATATTTAGTTTAGTTTCTTGTAAGCAGATTTGTATTCATATTGTGAATACTAATTGGGCTAATTTTAAAACTGTTGTTTTATTCCCCCTTCACACACACACAGAGACAATGAATTGTACATATGGGGACTAGTTAGGACCTTCATGGAGACAATGAGGTATTATGGTGAATGTAGTAAGAAAGGTAAGTAAGAATGCGTTATTTTGATGTTAGGAATATTGTGGTATATTTGGGTCAATGATTGTGGCTAGCTAAGTTTAAAATTAAGATAGAAGAAGACCGTCCTTCTCTCCCACTCCCCATTTTGGCCTTGTGCCACATTTTGTATCATTGTACAAATAAATATCGCTCATGGGATACATGAACCCAAATCTACACCTAAAATCTCAAACAACACACACACACACACACACACACACACACACACATACACATACACACACACATACACACATACACATAAAAAAAAATCAGCCCTATTGACCAGCGTTTCTCAACCGGCGGCGCGCCCGGACGCACTAATGCGCATTGAAAAGTAGCCAGGTGCGCCCAAAGTTAACAGAATAATTTATGTATTATTTTTATATTTAAAAAATCTTTATTTTTAAAAAGCTAGAGAAACCAGGCACATGGCTTCTATATCGAAGTCAAGTCTTTGTCGTTTGATACTTTAAACTGGATACCAAATCCCTTAATCTTTAAGAAGAAGTGGCTAATCCTTTCCCTTTTGCCTACCTTATAAGATTTAAATCAGTCATTATCGGCCTCTCTTAAAAATGGATTCTTCATAAATCCCTTTAAATGAAAATTGTACTTTGAAAAGGCTAATGAGAGTATGTTTATCACGTATAAAACCTAACATGGGGACCTCGAGGCGGTGTAATGTTTAGCAAGCGTTCCTCGCTAGAACAATTACAACTGAGTAGTGAATTCGATCCTCACTGAGTGCCCCCTACTTTCGGCCTTGTGCCACATCTAAGCTACGTTTGAAAAAAAATCTCTATAAAGCCTAACATTCAAAAATTGCCAAAGCACATCAAGCACAGGTTTCCTTACAA